ATAACCTTACCAAAGTAGACTCAAAAGAACTTATGTCGTGCACTCGGAATTCTATAAATTTTGAAATGGATTTTTTTGAAAGAGTTTTTGCTGAGAGGTAGTTTTGAATGAGAGGGTAGAACTTGCAAAGCCACGAAACCGCTGAAAACTGAAAACTATTGCTAAACTATGTAATCTGAAAAACCCAACGAAAAGAATGCTATCACTCATTTCCCTTGGAGGTACAACAGCAGTTCGAACTCAATAAATCAAATAAAAAGCAAAATGTGATGCGTCTCTTAGTCCTGGTGGCCTCCATCCTTAGTGATTGCGTTTGAGGATTATCTGTCAAAAATTTGGATTCCTCATTGGTGTTTCAAGAATCTTTTTACCATATCTTTATTCTAAGAAGAAGACTGGAAGGTTCAATTTGGATACTCAAACTCCCTTACAATAAATCCCCTTCCAAACTAAGTAAAAATGATCTATGAGAATAAGTAGTGTTAGTTCTTTGAGATCCTCACTTTTCTCACCTGACCTTCTGGAGTCGAGAGAAGATGGACTGCTATATGCTTGCCTCCACAGAACCACGTAATGCTGATCTAACTTACTTTCGCTGTGTTGCTCTTCCAATCCTCGCACAGTTAAAGTTTAGACAAGCTTGTAGATCAGCACCTTGTTTACTGTGCTCTGATCAGTGTTTTGTCTTACCAGAATTATGAGGTGTGCTGGAATGTGCCAGAAGGTTCGTGAAATGCTTCTGTAAAATTTTGTAAGCTTATTCTTATATTAGCGGAATGAATTTTTTTAGAACTTAGAGCGAATTTAGTCATCCTCTAACTTCCCAAGCATCCTAGTACTATCAAAATGCCTTTTTACAAGTGCAATAATGTGCCCTAACTCTTTTAGTTGCAACAAAGATCAAATTGGCGAAAACAACATAGTGGTATGATTAATTTCGGATAAAAGCCGTATTCAGACAAAATTTATTAAGATGCTGCATTAGTTTATTGTATGTTTAGTTCATAATGTCAATGCGTCTAGCGGTATGACGAAGAAAGAGTTCCTCGAAATGCAAGAAAGTTGCATTTTTCAGGTTGGGTTTATGTGATATACCATAGAGTGTCACAACAAACAATGGGGTGTACGATCATCGTAATAGCAAGTTGTTTAGGATCTATCAATTTGGGATATAAAGCTGCATAAAAGTTTGGCTAGAATGACAACGCTGTCTCAGGAAACCTGTCGAAGTTAGTGATTCGATATTGTAACGATTCTCACAAAATTTGAGGTTGAGACCACAAAAAAGGCGTGCGAGTTCATGCTTTACATTGTAGAAATGGTGGAGAATAGGCAGTTTCTTGAATGGGTAGCTGCTGAGAAATTTGACATTGCATTCAGCAACGTGGTCAGTCTCTGTCCCATTGGGATCATACACTATACCAAAATTCCTGCTTGGATTTGGCTTGACAGGTAGCGCTATATGAATATATATATTACGGATAATTGTACTCAAAAATAAATCTTTTAATTTACAGCACCGCTCTGGTGGACTACGTAGCATATTATATGGGAGTTCCGCTTATACCCAGCTATACTCCACGCAAGTATTTGTTATGTCGATGCTTAAAGATGATATGAGCTAAACGTTTTCAAATTTGAGCATTTATTTCAAAGAGCCAACTCTACTTATATCATTACAGAACTTTACACAGGATCAAATGATAACCGCACAATCTTTCTTTTCTACGAAAAGGCTAATAATGTTACCTGTTGGGAAACAAGCCAACCCTTAAGAATATGCAAAAATGATTTTTGAATTCATTAATCTCAAGCAGTCTAGCTGCGATAAAACTGATTTTGCTACATATACTCGTTCGATCTTAGATTAGGGTCTTGATGGCAAGGATGAATTCCGTTTTGAGCATAAAAAATTAAGCAAATACTATATATTCAACTTTATAGTTGTTGATATCACATGTGTTCTAATATATGTTTTAATAAGTATTTCCTTTAAGAAAAAATTATTAACCTTTAGCTTATTTGATGGAGAGCTCAGATAAAATGAAGTTTTTGGAAAGAATTAAAAGCTTTGTGGGACATTTGCTGATGGTGCCACTATGGAAAAGGTAGTGTTTTAACATGCTTTTATGTATTCGATTCATTATGTCAGGGATATGGATTAAATACATTCTAGGTTTTCAGCCGACAAAGAGACCAAAATTTTCCGAGAGGTGGTTGATCCAAATTTCCCGGACTTAGTAGAACTAGCGAAAAAGTGTCCACTGGTGAGTGAAAGTCCAGTAGTGAGGGTATAGAGCGCTTACCTAGAGAGGTTGAACCCACAGGATAAGGAAGTCTACATGCACTTAGTGTGAGGCGAGAGACATACCTTTTATTATTGCAACTAATTCTGAGAACACGACGTGCTTTGTTTTATAAACACATCAATCTTCCAAGAAACCTAGCTATCTTACTCACCTTCCCACTGCTTCAGCTTCTTTTCATTCTGATGCCGTATGTGAAAAGATGAACAGCCTTAATTAATTTAGAAGTATTATGATGACGAACACTGAATGCAAGAGAAAAACCCATTTACCTGTAATCCTTAATTTTGAATTTGTATTTAAGGGCGCGAGTGGCTAAAACTCAGCGCATCACCAAAATGGCCTTACAGTCTAAGTTGATGTAGAAGATTAAGACAAGATATTGAAATGGAGAATAAAGAAGATATTACACAGTAATGCTTTACGGTGAATGTGCGGCGGCATCGAAGTCGAATGTGCACTACTTATTTGAAAACTTTAATAGTAGGCACAAATATTTGTTTGTTTCCATTCTTATATATTACATAAATTTCTCCTAGCCTATTATGCACACGTATCGAGAAAAATAAGTTTCCAATCTGCCCCTAATCCGCCCCAGGATTTGATGTCATGTTGAAGGAGAACTTGTAGAGATCCGTATACCTTATTGGTGGAGTCTTGGAAATAAAATCAACACAACCGATAGAAGGCGTATAATCCACTCTTCCACCTTTTTCGATAATACTTCATGTACTTCGCTGTTTTGAGCATTTTTCGTATGTTTGCGTCAAACAGGAAATACAGGGCTTTTGAAAAAGAGCTTCAACTTCTATGTCTTACTTAGTTGGCAAATTTGCTAAAGTAGCTGTACCCTCAATAGCGCAAATAGCTACCGCATAATTTCGACACAATAATGCTCTGCTTGTAAAGGAAGGCTTGCAAGTGATTTCGTTTATAAGATTGTAAAAAACGGAGTTGGGCAAATACCAATGTCTGGAACGCAAATTTTGATTTGGCAGTAGCAGCAGCTTTATATGAAGATGAGTCAAAAGTTTTACGAAGTTTATTATAGCACCTATTACTTATTCTATGCCTTTTTCTGCCGCTTACCTCTTTTCTTGATGCATCAAACAGTGGGCA